GATAGTATACCTCAACAAAGGAAATTTGCATGAGCGTATTCTTTTTCAGTTTAGAGTAGGCTATCATTTCTTTCAGGCTGCTGAGTTCTTCATGTGTCTTTTATCGCATTCTAGATTGCAATACTATCGGCTTTGAGTGGTTCGATTATCTTCTCAACTATATATAATGTTGGTGCTGGGTTGGTGATAGAAATATTCATGTATATGCGAACTTTGGAGTTGTTAAGGCATGATTAAATAAGTAAATTGTTCCGGGCAGGCATGGTTGAGCCTCGACTGGACCAGCATTAAGGTTCTCTTTCACGTGATTATCAATCAAGTTTTTAGATGATTCAGGAAATTTAATATGGTGTCAAACCAGGTAGAGTTTAAGAGCCTATTTGGCCAAGCTTTTGGGAGGTCAAAAATATTTTTTCTTACAAAAAAAAGTACATTTGGAAAATTTGAAGTGTTTGGCCAAAATGGAAAGTGCTTTCAAGTTGCAGCGGAAGCAATTTTTTTTTTTTGCTTTTGGGGAGAAGCTACAAATTCTGGTTTCTTCCAAGAAGCAGAAGCAGAAAATTAATTTATTCAAGATAAAAATAACTTACAATAAATTTATATATTTCAAATTATCCCTCATTATTTAACCTTTTTCTTTTCCTTTTTATTTCTCCCATACTTTTCTTCTCTTTTTTATTTCAATCATATTTTTATTCTTTTTCTCTTATTCCTCTTTGGAATAGTCTCGCACGAACAATTTTTTATTTATATTGAATGGTGTATTTTAATATATTTAAATTATTATGTAAACAATAAGCGATACTACATACTAAATGTTGTTACTTTGGAATAACTATATTGATTTGAATCTTTAATTTATGTTTTTACTTTATGTTTTATATTTTAATTGAATTCCTTTATAGCAAAAAACTAATGTCTTTTTCTAAATAATACTAATTGCAAATTGAACCTTTACTGTCCTTTTTAATTTGTTACTTAAAAGTACTTTTTGGAAAGATTGACCAAAGACAATGTGCTTGCAAGAAGTACTACTCAAACGAATTGGTCAAACACATTATTATTTTGCGGAAGTACTTTTTCAGAAAGGACTTTTAATTAAAATCACATTTAAAAATAAGCAGATTTTGACGGCTTGACAAACGGAATCTAAGTACCTTCACATAGTTACGAAAAAGAGGGCGTGTCATGACATAATCAATTAAATAAATGTGTCATTTTCAACAATTTAGACTTTAGATAAAAAGATGACACAATTGAATATGTATATTGATCATTATGTGACTTAGGCTTCCTCAAATAAATTTGGTTTGATTGAACTATTGGAAACTAGAAAAGTGGTGCCCCAAGAATTTAGACTTTGGATAAAAAGGTTACTTTTTAATTTTTTTCCTTTTCATTTTTATTTATTTTCTTTATAACTTATTTATTATTTCCATTATTTTCTTTTTATTTTTTATTTTATTTTATTTACTTTTTAATTTTAAAACATATTTTGATTTGTACATTATTCATCTTTTATTCCTTTACTTTTACTTTTTGTGATTCCATGTAATGCTTGTATATTTTTATTTTCTTTATTTAGCGTAACTGCGTTATTATTCTAGTTTTTGAAACTACACCTAATATTAGAAATAATGAGTCACTAACAAACTTGGCAATACAATGAGTGATGTCATTAAAGTATAATTTTATTGTTGAATGAGGTTATAAACTTATTATGTTTGCTAATATTAAGTTGTATTGGAACTTATTTTTATTATGTTGGAATTTGACATATATATGTTAAACTTTTTTTTTTTTGGATTTTGATTTTGAAATTGTGTTATATTTATGGTTCCAGTTTATTTCTTTTAGTAGTATTGGCTTGTTATTTCACATTGCATGTTGTTCATTTTTTAGTTAGAATTGATAAATTCGTTTTGTCAAACATTTGAATAATGTTATGACATTATATTTATAGATATTAATTTATTTTATCAAATATGCATTCCATGATGTTCTTAGAATACGTATGTTTTTAGTTTTTATAATTAATTAAACTAAATATTATTAATTTGAAAAATATATATTAGTTATTTTTACAATATTAGTTATAAATATATGATTACTAATTGATGTATATTAGAAAAAAAAAATGCATCTTAAATACCAAATCTAATATCATTTATACTTATACAAAATCATTTATAGGAATATATTTATTATATTAACTTTTAAATTTTGATAATTGCTTCATTTATAATTTAATCTAGTTATGTAATTACACTTGTGCAATCAAACAATATACTTGTAATTACACTGTAATTACATTATGACAAACAAACAAATCGTCGTAATTACTATATTGTGTAATTACTAGGCTGTGTAATTACACCAATTTCAATTACCGGGTTGTTAGGATTTGCCCTAAATTTTTAATCTATTAGGACTCTCTTTCTTGAAGGACTGGAAAAAGACTCCTAAAAAGATTAAATTTCCTTAATATGGCTTATCCTTTTCTTGGAGGACAAGTTTTGCATATCTATAAATTAAGGATCTCTACTTCTCACAAGAGGACAACAAAAAATATCTACAATGTAATCATTAAAGAGCTTTGTTTAGGGGGAGATTTTTCTCTCGATAGTTTTCTTCTTTTATATTAGTTTTATCATACGTAGATCCATTGACCAAAGCATTATAAACTATTATGCTTAGTTTAGTATATTTTTCTTTTGTCGTCTGATTTATCGTCCACCAAGCTTTGTATTGTTAGTTTCCGCATGCACCATGTTATTTCGACCCCAACAAGTGGCATCAGAGCCAATGATTCAGAGTCAACGGTTGAACGAGGTTGAAGACAGATTCAATGCGTGTTTAGATCAGGACGATAATGAAGATTTATTCAACATACTACATGTGGAGATAAATTTACAATCACAATTGTATTCAAAACGCCTGCTGCTACATCTCTCTTTTTAACCCATATTTTGGCACTTTTAACCAATGCCAGTTTTAAATCATGCCTACTTGTAACGCATGAGTTCCAATTAGGGGTGGACGTTCGGTATTTCGGTTCGGTATTTAAGAATTTCGGTTCGGTATTTCGGTATTCGGTTTATCAATTATATATACCAAATACCGTACCATAATATTTCGGTACGGTTCGGTATTTCTTATTTTGGTTCGGTACTATTTCAGTACGGTTTCGGTTTAAACCAAATCTTCATTGTCTCCCCCTCCATTAACTAGCAAAATCTGGCGCCAACATTATTTTACCTTCAATTACTTTAATATTGTGCTTTCTTTTTCTTGATCCTCTAAAGTTGTTCACAGAATCTTTTGCCATTTGTTTGATACCTACATTTATGTGCTTGAGCCTTCCACAAAATATATGGTTTTAAAAAACACAATAGTAAATAACAGTAGCAGCTAGCAAGGAAAAGGTACTAAATAAAATCATGCCCCTCAAAACTTTATCAACCTTTTGAAAAACGTTAAAAAAAAGGGGGAATCACCACTATGCAGAATTAATTTCCTGGAAACATCATAACTTAATAAACAAAATCAAAATTTTGTCGTGCAATTTGCAAAGCAACAGGAGAATCTTTTTGGAGCCTAGTGCCATTTTAGCAATTTCATTTATAGTGCTTGTACAGCAGCACTACCTCTATAAAACCCAACACAATTCAAGATTTTTATTTCAGCTATAACACAGTTTCAACATATATATAGAGAGAGAGCTGAGAAAATTATAATAATGAGGGTTGTAGCCACAAACTCAACCTCCATCTCTAATGGTAGTACTATGGGCTCAAATGGTAGTACTTCATTGTTGCATTGGAAATCTCCACTTCCTTACCTTTTCGGAAGTTTAGCATTAACGTTAACACTCATCGCCGTGCCACTTCTCTTCCTCGTTTGTTCCTATCGTAAACGGTCGTCTTCTACGGCAACTGACGAGGAAAAACCTGCATATTCTGATCACAAAACAAGTGCAAGTGTGGAGATGACCGAAATATTGATCTCACCTCATTAAACTATTTCGGTATTTCAGTATACCGAAATACCGAAATATCAATAATCCAATACCGTATACCGTACCGAATTACCGAAATACCGAAATTTTTGTACCGAAATAAACCGAAATACCGAAAAAACCGAAACCAAAATACCAAATTAATTCGGTTCGGTTCGGAATTCGGTTTTTCGGATTTTATGCCCACCCCTAGTTCCAATGTCAGTTTTAACGCACGCTTCTTTTTAATGCATGAGCTTCTTTTACCCCATGTTTATTCTTAACACGTGGGATCCTTTTAACCCATACTTGGGCTTCTTTTAATCAATACCAAGATTTTCAACCTTTATCGATTTTTAATCATGGCAAGCAGCAGTGATGAAGATTATGTGAAGAAGGTGAATAAACTTTGTCAAGAAAATTCAGACCAAGGGGAGATTGTTAGGATTTGCCCTGAATTTCTAATCTATTAGGACTCACTTTCTTGAAGGACTGGAAAAAGACTCCTAAAAGGATTAAATTTCCTTAATATGTCTTATCCTTTTCTTGGAGGACAAGTTTTGCATATCTATAAATTAAGGATCTCTACTTCTCACAAGAGGACAACAAAAAATATCTACAATGTAATCATTAAAGAGCTTTGTTTAGGGAGAGATTTTTCTCTCGATAGTTTTCTTCTTTTATTTTAGTTTTATCATACGTAGATCAATTGACCAAACCATTATAAACTATTATGCTTAGTTTAGTATATTTTTCTTTTGTCGTCTGATTTATCGTCCACCAAGCTTTGTATTGTTAGTTTCCGTATGCACCATGTTATTTCGATCCCAACACGGGTGACTTTCCAAACATACCCTAAATGAAAAAGACAACCAATCATCAAACTGTAAATGCATGACTTAATATTGGGACAAAAGACCCCTAGTTGACCTTCGGGAGCTTATAGCGTCAAAGAGTGATAATAGTAACCATGACATTTATAAGTAGCATTAAAATTAACCACCTTTTCACATTATGTATGAAAATAAATACTACAATTCCCACTTAAAGAATTTAAAGTACATAATTCCGAAAACTATAAGCACACAACAAGGGATGATTCCCAAGCTTAATAATAGAAATACTCATTTTGGTTCTTGCAAGGAGATGACAGTTTCAAAGGCACCAGCCAATGCTCTTACTTTGTTCTTCCTTTGCTCCCTAAGTTTGCTTGCAGTCTCTTCAATCACATTATTTGAAACCACAGATTCCTTATTCTTGCCTTGCACCACTTGAAGTTGAGATTTTGATGATGCCACTGTCGTTTTTTTCTCCGGCACTGCTTCAGTTTCTTCAATGTCAACTTCAACTTGCTTGGGATTTTGGCATAATTCTTCTTCTTGCACTGCTTCAGTTTCTTCTACCATAGGAGTTTCTTTTCCTTCATCTTCCTCTTTCAATTCTTGATTCTCCTCTGATGATGTATTTATAACCATTTCTTCCTTTTCCTTCTCTGTTGAATCATGTTTATTAGGCTCATTTCTGATTTTTTCTTGTTCTTCAACTTGTACTTTTTTATCTTCTGCTTCTTCATATATGAATTCTTGCTCTTCCTCAACTAAAGTTGATGATTCAGCTGCAGCCTTGATATCCTCCAATTCAGCATTGTTTATATTTCCATTATTCTCTTCATGATCATCCATGGCTGAATCATTGTCCCCTGCATCAGAATTAGAAGCCATTTCGCTATCACTCATGATCATTTCCTTTGCGCTCTCATGGATTGTTACTTCTTCATGAACTTCTTCTGGCTCTGACTGTTCACCTTGAGAATTTGTTATTATTGATGCTTTTGTATTTGAACCATTAGTACTATCATGTTTCCTTATCGTGGTTGTGGTCATGATCGTCTTCTTTTTGGTCACTGGCCTAGAATTTAGGCCAGCGCTACGTTGTTTCCCAATGGCATCCTTGCTAGTTTTCGAGAATTTATCCAAAAGGGGTTTCTGTGAAGTGGAAGTCTTGGACGATAAAGATGACGATGAACGAGGAATTCTCTCCCTAGGATTAGGGGAAATTCGAGTTTTTGGGGAGGAAGAAGGAAGTGGAGGCTTATTATCAAATGATCTTCTTCGAGTTAGAAGAGAAGATTTGTTATTATTATTGTGAATGTTGTGAAGGTCACTTGAGGAAGCAGACTTCTTGGATTGAGCAATTGTTGGTTTGAGGTAGCTGGGAATGTTATTGTTTAAGGTAGTTGTTGGATCAGCTTGTTTTCGGACAGGAGAAGTTGTCTTTGATGTGTTGGTGGTGCTTCTCTGGTTATGTATTGGAGATGGAGATGTCCCTCTCTTCTCCTTTCCAGGAGGAGCAGTGTCCCTTGACCTTGTTGCCATTGTTTTTTGCTTTTGGAAAGATTTTACACCTGCAGTTTGTTGCGAAAACAGATAAAAAGGTGAGGTGGAATTTTCAAAAAGAGTCTAAATTGTATGCACTAGTAGGAATAAGATATGTACATAACTAAGTCACTATAAGATAAGTACAAGCATGCTTGTACGATAAGCGTTATTTTAATCACCTGCACCTGCAGTATGGTGGAGGTAAACATTCATTCAGCTTTAACTAGAACGGTCGAATTGGAGTTTAGGAATGAAGTTATATTTTATTGGGACTTGGGAGCTCGAAGTGCACTTAGCGGCGAAGCTAAAAATTTATTCAAAGGTATCCAAATTTGAAAGAAGTGAAAAAAATTCTGATAAATGGTGTTCAATATATGTTATATACCTCTAAAACGTAATATTTTATTTATATACACAATATAATTTTTCGACGAACTGACCACCTTTGTAACCATGTGGCTTTGCCACTGAGTGAACTAGTAGCTACATTTAAGCCCGCTATTTAAAATATATTCACAATTTACAATGCATTTAAAAATTAGCCAATTTATCTAAACTTCAGGATTAAATATCCATTGTATCCTAAATTTTTGAGCATGCTAATTTGAAATTTGGGACTAAATATCTTGAATTTTTGAATTGCTAATTTGAAATTCAACACTAAGTATCCTGAATTTTTGAATAGCTAATTTTAAATTCGGGACATAAATTTTAATTTCTCGGCACAATATTCGAACTTTAGGACACGATGTCCTGAAGTTTGAACCTCGAGGTTTAAACCTCAGGACGCTATGTTCTGAAGTTTGAGCATTGACTAATCTTTAAATACATAGTAAATTGTGAATATATTTAAACCAATATGCTTAAAAGTGACTATACTTTATCATCTCCACCGCTAAAACCGAACATAGTGGGCTTCCCAATCGAATCCAAGTTAGTCAAGCTAGTGAGGTTCAAACTTCAGTATGTTGTGTTATGAAGTTGGAGCAAGTTGGCCAATCTTTAAGTACATTATAAATTTTGTATATATTTTAAACAACATGCTTAAAAATGACTACCTGACCGCTAAAAACCAACACAGTGGGCTTTCCGGCCGAATTCAAGTTAGTCAAGCTAGTGCATTCCAAAATCGGATGGTTAAAAAAATATAATCATTACTTCCTCCATTTCATTTATATGAAGACGTTTGACTAAATATAGAATTTAAGAGATAAAGAAAGTTTTTAATACATACCAAAAGTACTGTTACAATTTGTAATCTATGTCATAATATTCTTATAGTTGAACATGTTATTATGGTAACTGAGAAGTCAAAAGTTAAAACTACATAAAAATAATACTTCCTCCGTTCCAGTTTACGTGAACCTATTTTCTTTTTGGTCCGTTCCAAAAAGAATGAACCATTTCTAAATTTGGAAACAATTTAGCTTAAACTTACAATTCTACCCTTAATGAGAAGCTTTTACAACCACACAAATATTTTGGGCCCCTTTTTGACTTGTTTAGGACCACAAATTCCAAAAGTCTTCATTTTTTCTTAAACTTTTTGCTCAGTCAAACAAGTTCACATAAATTGAAACGGAGGGAGTAGTTAATTAACATGATATCACAAGGGTAAAACACCTTTGCGTTATCAGTATATATTGAGTATGGCCGTTCTTACTGTCCAAGCAACTAATATCACGTTTAAGTGCATTAAAAAGTCAAATTTCTTTCATTACTTTTCTATATAAAGCACCACAAATTATGTACGTACTAGTAAATTTGTCCGCGCTTCGTGCGGTTAAATTATTGATATATTCCTTTTTGAAAATAACTGAATAAAAACAATGCTATTGAAATAGCCATGTTATTATAGAAATTATTTTTATCTAACAAACAGTTAAGTCAAAAAATATTCTTGGTCTACTTCTTTGTATCAAAATTCTATGCATTTCTAGTTAAAAGGGACAGTTGCAGAAATTTAAACATAACCCTCCCATCTCACTTTTGTTGTTAAGATTTCTAGTATTTCTAAAAACTTCTATTCGATTTTATATATTTTATAAAGGAAAAGCAAAAAGAATGCTTTTCATTTGATCGTATTCTCATTATCTCCTTGATAATTTTTAAATTTCCTTTTTCCTTTTTTGATATTTTTTCTCTTTATCAGGCCTTACTTTCCTTATATTTTTCATATTTTTTCTTGATAATAATCCTTTCACTTCCATATGTATATTCATTCAAAATACTATTTATCGATTCCTATCCTTCCTCACTCTCTTTTTCATTTCATTACCTTTTCTAATCCTCTTATTTTATTCTTTTCTTTATCATATTCATGTCTTTCTATTCCTGGAAACAGCCTCTCTACCCTTCGGGATAGGGGTAAGGTCTGCGTACATATTACCCTCCCCAGACCCCACTTGTGGGATTATACTGGGTCGTTGTTGTTGTCGTTGTTGTATTCATGTCTTTCTATTCCTGGAAACAGCCTCTCTACCCTTCGGGATAGGGGTAAGGTCTGCGTACATATTACCCTCCCCAGACCCCACTTGTGGGATTATACTGGGTCGTTGTTGTTGTCGTTGTTGTATTCATGTCTTTCTATTCTTCTGTAAATTAGGAACTACTATTATCCTTCCCAAATATAATCAACTCAATTCTCATTTTTACTTCTACCGATCTTATGAAAAATTACAAAACTCGACTTCTTCCCTCTTGATTAACTTTTCATCGCAATGTTCACAATTTTTGTGATACATTAAGAGATCCAATAGTCATTTCTTCAATAATCTTAGTTATAATTCTTTATCTTTCTCTTCTTTAACTGACATCTCTTTTTTAATTTATAAAAATCACATGCTAATAAAATGCATAATTGAATGCTCGAATATTTCTCAAGTGTTATTTTCTTTTTCTTTGTTCTTCTTTTCTTTTCTTTCTCATTTTTTTCAAAACCTCAAGCAAATGAGAAATTGTTATCCTTTCTTGAATAATCAAATTAATTACCTTTTTTTTTACTAATCTTACAAAAGTTCTAAAAATCAATCTTGATTAATCACTTATGGCACTACAACACGTCTATCTTATATATTAATAGAGAGGAGTCAAGAAATATATATATATATATTTTGAAGAAATTGGCGAGATAGTCTCTTTAAAACTGTCAAAGTGCCACCAAAAGGTACCATAACACAAATCATGTCATTTATTTTCGGATGAGAAAAATAATCTTATTGTCGCAAATTATCATTTGTTTTGAGCATTTTGTAGTCATACTTTATCAATTCTTTCTAAAATAATGAAAAAATATTAAAAAATTCAACGTAAATCTATCATAATCATTCCTAAATATTTTTAAATAAGTATAGCATTTTACTGCAAGACAAAAAAGCAAATTTATTACTTATTACATGTATATTCATACTATAACTATAAGCAACATACTAAACGAGTAATAATAATGGTAGTGTACTTATCAAGGTTAAAGTTGAATACCTACAATATTATCCACAAATAATACGATATGTTCTTTTCTTCCTCACTTCCTAAATAATAAAAGTTATGCACCAATATCATGTATGATCAAATAATCGTGACAGAAATACCAACAATGAGAAGAAAAAGTAAAAAAAACGATATGTTCTTTTCTTCCTCACTTCCTAAACAATTAAAGTTAACTGTGGTAAAAACACCAACAATGAGAAGAAAAAGTTATGCGCCAATATTGTGTATAAACAAATAACTGTGGCAAAAACAACAAAAATGAGTTTTTTTTTTAAAAACGATATATTCTTTTCTTCCTCACTTCCTAAACAATGAAAGTTATGCACCAATATCGTGTATGAACATACAACTGTGGCGAAAACACTAACAATGAGAAGAAAAAGTCCAAAAAAAAAATACGTAGAAAGAATTTCTTATGAAAATGAGAAGAATGGTCAATGAAGAAGAGGTCAATGAAGAAGAGACAAAAGTGGCAAAAAGGAGAAGATGTGCTTTAATATTTATAGTAACCAAAATACAAATAGTAACTTACATTGAGTAATAGAAAAAGAAAGTGTAACGGATATTGAGTAATTATAATAGAATGGGTATTAAATTTACTAATAATCGTAATAAATGTATTTATTAAGAATGGGCAGAATGGTTAAATCAACTAAATATTTAGGAATTCTTTGAGATCTTATATGAACTGGTGGTATGCATAATGGAACCCTTTATGGACGAAGGGAAGTTATATGTGGTATAAATGGTAACGGTTAAGTGAGAAAACGATTATGAACAGAGAGTGGCTAATTAAATGGACTAAAAGGCGCAAGTTTTGGTTTTTATGCCATTAAAACATGATGTTTGCTTAATTTAGTAATGATAGAGCAATTTCCAATTACTAACAATTTAATTTAAATGAAAAGAATGAAAGGGAAAAGGCAAAAAAAAAAAATGAGAAAAAAGATAAATAGGATCCTTGGCTAAAGAGAGGTGCCAAGTCACCTTTTTAATTCTCTCCTTTATATATATAGATATATAGATTAGAGAATAAGAACTTTTCTTAAGGTATAGATTTGTATATATTGCAGCCTAAATTCGAAATTGAACTTTATGTGTAAACAAATACGTGGGAATGTAAGAATAAAGAGAATCACACTACAATTAAAAGAGCAAAACGTATATGGCTCTGCCCTCTCATTTTATTAAGAAATTCAGCTTTCTTTATTAGTTTAAGGGCGGAAGGTTTTCTTTCAAACTTTGCCAATGGATTGCGTATATCACCTAGCAGCTCAAGCGATGACACTATTTTCACTAAGAAAAGGAGAGATAAGTTATTTATGATGTTAACTAAAGAATATTAACTCCTTAACCTTTCGAGGTTGGAAAATAACACTCCCGAGAATAAAACCCCTTTGACCAAACACTAATTCCTCAAAGATAAATTTGAAACTCTAGAGAAAAAGGTCCCACAAAACACAAATTATTTTTGGTACTTAGAACATCTCATAATCCATAATAGGGGTATTACTAAGGGTTGTTTCTTACCTTTTGAATAGTTTACAACTATTATCACCTTTTTTATGAACATAATGTCCAGATCAATTTGTGCACATCTCAGTTAATTCTACGGAGACAACCATCATTTCATTTTGCTTGTTGACTTTAGATGCAGTGTCGTTTTCCACCCCATTATATTAGTGAATGGAGTATTCAATAGGGTTGTTCCTTCGGATCGGATATCCGAAATTCGAACCGATCCATTCAATTTTGAATTTCGAATTGGATCGGATTTCGTATTATGTTTATTAAAATTTCGGATTTCGGATCGGATTTCGGATTAGTATATTTTAATCCAATCCAATCCGAAATTATTAGGACATGTATAAATACTACACTTTAATTTACATCAACCTCCAAGTTATTACCTTTACAATTGCTAGATTTAGCTATATTGACATCATAGTACTCTCATAATTACATAAACATGAATTTTTCTTAATGTATTGCCTCTTTTACAAAGAAAATATACATATTAGTTTAACTTTGAGGCATAATAATACGATCCGATATCCGATCCGATCCAAACTTTAAAATCCGATCCGATCCGATATAATTCGGATCGGATTCGGATTGTATTTTCTAGAATCCGAAATATGTTAAATCCGATCCGTGCACAGCCCTAGTATTCAACATGTGAATGAAGTATTTTTTCCAAACCTCAAAAAATTAAAGGGGTTCGCTACGCCAAAAAAAAGAAAAAGAAAAAAGAATTCTTATATCAAATATAATTCTTTTCCATTCTTTCTCTTTTTTTTCCCCAATTCATAACATGACTCGTGAGAAGAAACTTTGCACGTACTTTAGTCCCAACCAAATTTACAAAAGAGGACAACTACTTCTCTGACCAAATTTCCAGCCAAATTCACTTGTGCACATTACAAATATAGGTATCAAGTTCAGCACACTGGAAATACACTTTAAATTAAATATCAATATTCTCAATAATTGATGGCGAAAAGATTTTTATTAAATATTCCTTTTTCTCATCCTAATTAAACCATTTCCTTTTTATTCATCTACCGCTGAGGTGAATACTTTTCCGAAAAGGCTGTTTCCAAAATGTAGATTAGCCATTCCCACCACTAACCAACCCATAAATGAAAAATGTAAAGATATCAAATCAATTTTCTTTTAAGACATACACTTTCAAGAAAAGTTGTATGAATTAAAGAATGTAAAAGACGATTCATCTGAGTGTTCATATCTAAAGCAATATCACAAATTTTTGAAACAAAATGCATAAATTCCAAAAACAAGGAGAGGGAGGAAATTAAAGGAGAAACTGAAAGATAAGAGGAAAGCGCACCTTTTTTAATGAAAGGAGATTATGAAAATCCCTCATCATTAGAGATAGTTGATTGTTAGGGAAGAAAATAAATTAGGTATTTAGGAGCAAAGGAGCTTAAAAGAAGGAAGAAAAGGAAAGCAAAATATTGATTTGAAAAAAATTACAGCATTTTTGGTATTTTGGTTGTTATATTTCACGCGTAAATTATGGACATCCCAAGGTTGTGAGAAACACATAAAGCACAGAGATGGGATCCTATCCAGATAAGAGACAATACAGTATTGAATTGTTTTGGTTTGATCATTTCAAAAAGTGTTATGAATAGAATTCTATTTACAGTGAATGTCTATCTTGTAGAGAGTTTCAAGGCTAAGTCATTTTTCCCCTATAAATAGAAGGGTCTTACCCCATTGTAAATCATCCCAAAATTCAATAAGAATTTCCTCTCTTTCTTTCTCTGCAATATTGTTCTTCTACTTTTATTGTTTTATCACACGTTATCAGCACGAGACTCTACCGTCTCAAGAAGATTAAGGCACAACTTTTCTCCTCTTTTAATTATGACTGATATTATGAAAAGAAAGTTCGTTGCCCTTGAAATTTCGGGCAAGAACTATATGACATGGGTGTTGGATGCTGAAATCCATTTAGATGCAATGAGTCTTGGAGACGCCATTAAATACAAAACTAAAGCATCCACCCAAGACTGTGCTAAAGCCTTGATTTTCTTGCGCCATCACCTTGATGAAGGGTTGAAAATAGAATATCTCACAGTCAAAGATCCACTTGTTTTGTGGAATGACTTAAAGGAAAGATATGACAACTTAAAGTTGGTCACTCTTCCACAAGCACGATATGATTGGGCTAATCTGAGGCTCCACGACTTTAAGTCTGTTTCTGAATATAATTCTGCGATGTTCAGAATTGCTTCTAAATTGAAACTCTGTGGAGATACTATCACTAATTATGATATGCTTGAAAAAACGTTCACAACGTTTCATGCCTCCAATATGGTCTTGCAACAGCAATATAGAGAGAAAAGTTTCAAAAAGTACTCTGAGTTGATTTATCTTCTCCGTGTGGCTGAGCGAAACAATGACTTGCTCATGAGAAATCACGAAAATCGGCTCACTGGGTCTATATCATTGCCTGAAGTGGATGAGGTGTATTCCCATTATGCTAAGCGTGGAAAAGGCCGTGGCCCTATTCGTGGTCGTGGCCGTGGCCGTGGCCGTGGACAAGGAAGAAATTTTCCTAGTGCTGATCAGCTCCCAAAGAAAAATAACCACCAAAAGTGGAAAGGGAAAGATGAGAAACCAAAGGCAAATGGTTCAAAAACCGAATGTTATCGTTGCAGTGGAAAAGGCCATTGAGCAAATATTTGTCGTGTACCAAGACATTTGGTTGAGCTTTATCAAGCATCTCTAAAGAACAAAGGCCCTGAAGCTAATTTTGCCTCGACAATGATTTTGACATCACCCACTTGGATGTGGCAGACTTCTTTGAGCGCCCTGATGGGAAAATAGATCACTTGATCGGTGATGAATCCGTGGTTAAAGATAATTGAGTAGTTTAATTTTTATTTTTCCTATTCGTAGTAGCTAGTGAATAAATATCATGTAATCATAATTTTTTTTACATGAGTAGTAGTCATTAGTATTATTTATTTTATAAAATAGTGTTAGTTCATTTTGATTAAATATAATTTTATGGGATAGTATCAGTTCGCTTTAAAATAATGTTTCGGCTTGCTCAGTCTTCTCAAAACAAAGTATCCAAATTGATCAGTTTGCTTAATATCCGTTTTAAAACAATGTGTGTTAAATCACGTTACATGTAAAACTTACATTATTCATACTTCATTACATAATCTGTTATGATCCCTTGTTACTTTATCCTTACGTGTTCGTACTTCCGAGAACATACAGTTATGGTTTGCGAATGTTTATATTTTATACATTTATTATAACAACAAAATGATACTTCAAGTTACTAGTTTTGTACCAACAAATAAAGAAAAAAACGTGTTGTTATTCGTACTAATGTTTATCGTATATTTTTTTTTGTATGTCAAACAATGGGAAGCAAATATGGATATCTCACAAAACAAACTTGGATCAAAGTTCAATTGTAAAAATATTTGTTTAATTGATTCATGTACGACACATACAATATTCAAAGAGAAGAAATATTTCTCTCATTTAAGTATGTGTAAGGCAGATATTACTACAATTTCTGGTAGTAGTAAATTAATTGAAGGCTCTGGAAGAGCTACTATAACTCTGCCTAAGGGAACAATACTTATCATAGAGAATGCAATGTTCTCCTCCAAGTCCAAGAGGAACTTGTTGAGTTTTAAAGATATCCGTCGAAATGGATATCATATTGAGACAATAGATGAGAATAATCTTGAATATCTCATCATTACCAAGAATGTCTCTGGCCAAAAGAGGGTTATTGAGAAGTTCTCATCTTTATCTTGTGGTCTGTATTAGACAAGAATTAGTGCAATTGAAGCACATTCTACCGTAAACCAAAAGGTTACTGATTCCAATACTTTTGTACTTTGGTATGATCGATTGGGACACCCTGGATCAATTATGATGAGACGAATTATAGAAAACTCAAATGGGCATCCATTAAAGAATTTAAAGATTCTTTTAAATGATGAATTTTCTTGTACTTCTTGTTATCAAGGCAAGTTAATTATTAGACCATCACCAACAAAAGTTGGAATTGAGTCCCCTGCGTTTTTGGAACGTATACAAGGGGACATTTGTGGACCTATTCACCCACCTAGTAGGTCGTTTAGATATTTTATGGTCTTAATAGACGCATCTTCTAGATGGTCTCATGTGTGCCTATTGTCATCTCGCAACCTCGCGTTTGCAAAATTAATGACACAAATAATTCGATTACGGGCACAACTTCCCGATAATCCAATTAAGTATATTAGACTTGATAATGCTGCTGAGTTTTCATCCCAAGCATTTAGCGATTATTGCTTATCAATTGGGATAAAAGTGGAACACCTTGTAGCTCATGTTCACGCTCAAAATGGTCTTGCAGAGTCTTTAATTAAACATCTGCAATTGATAGCAAGACCGTTACTCATGAAAATGAGGCTGCCCACTTCTGTTTGGGGTCACGCCATTTTGCATGCAGCAATGCTAGTTTGTCTTAGACCGATAAATTATCATAAATATTCCCCGTTGCAATTAGTTTTGGGTCATGAACTTAATATATCCCATTTAAGAATTTTGGATGCGCAGTATATGTGCCTGTAGCACTGCCATATCGCACCAAAATGGAGCAAAGAAGGTTAGGAATATACATAGGGTTTGAATCGCCTTCCATTATTCGCTATCTTGAAACATTAACGGGGGATTTATTCACTGCTCGATTTGCAGACTGTCGATTCGATGAGACACTTTTCCCAAAATTAGGGGGAGAAGTTGGTGAAACCAAACGGGAAATTTTGTGGAAAAATCCATCATTATCTCATCTTGATCCACGTGCCTCTATTTGTAAAAAAGAGGTGCAAAAGATTATCCATTTGCAGAGAATAACAAATCAAATGCCAGATGCATTTACGGATTTGAAAAGGATAACAAAATCACATATCCCTGTAGAGAATGTCCCAATCCGTATTGATGTCCCTGTTGGACAATCTTCTAGTGTCATAGCTAATGAGTCAAAAGTACCCCTAAAACGTGGTAGACCATTAGGTTCTAAGGATCGAAATCCTAGAAAAAGGAAAACAAATGATCAAAATGACACTACGAAAGAATCTCATGAAGAAATCCACAATTTAATAAATTCTGAGATTCATAAGGAATCCACTAAGCCCGAGACTCAAGAAAATAAGGAACTATCAATAAATCCAATCGATATTGAGACAAAGTTGAATCGAGTGGATATAGTGGTGGATTATTTCTTTGCATATAATGTTGCATCTAGCATTATGCAAGAAAGTGAGTATCTTGAACCTCAATCTGTTGGAGAATGTCGACAAAGACTTGATTGGCCAAAATGACAAGAAGCAATCCAATCAGAGTTGAACTCACTTGCAAAACATGAAGTTTTTGGGCCTGTAATCCAAACACCTAATGGTGTTAAGCCTGTTGGCTATAAGTGGGTTTTTGTACGCAAGAGAAATGAGAAAACCGAGGTACAAAGATATAAGGCACACCTTGTTGCACAAGGATTTTCACAAAGGCCTGGTGTCGATTATGAAGAGACATATTCACCCGTTATGGATGCTATAACTTTCCGCTATCTCATTAGTTTTGCTATCCATGAAAAGCTTGACATGCATTTAATGGATGTGGTTACCGCCTACCTTTATGGCTCACTTGATAATGAGATATATATGAAATTCCCGATGGATTTAAAATGCCAAACGCAAATAATTCAAAGTCCCGGGAAATGTTTTCAATCAAATTGAAAAGATCGTTGTATGGTCTAAAGCAATCATGACGAATGTGGTATAATAGTCTTAGTGAGTATTTATTAAAGGAAAGCTATATAAATGATGCCATTTGCCCATGTATTTTTATAAAGAGAACAACATCAGAATTTGTTGTACTTGCCGTATATGTTGATGACATAAACCTTATTGGAACTCCTATAGAACTCCAAAAGGCAATTGATTATTTAAAGAAGAAATTCGAGATGAAAGATCTCAGAAATACAAAATTATGCCTTGGTTTGCAAATTGAACATTTGGCAAACGGAATTTTCATCAATCTGCCTACATAGAAAAGGTATTGAAACGGTTTTACATGGATGGAGCACATCCATTAAGTACTCCGATGGCTGTTCGATCACTTGATGTGAATAAGGATCCATTCCGACCTCAAGAAAAGAATGAAGAGCTACTTGGTCCGGAAGTACCATATCTTAGTGCAATTGGTGCACTAATGTATCTTGCTAATACTACAAGGCCTGACATAACTTTTTCAGTTAATGTCTTAGCAAGATATAGCTCTGCTCCTACAAGGAGACATTGGAATGGAATCAAACACATATTGCGGTATCTAAAAAGGACTACCGATATGGGCTTATTTTATGACAATAATTGCAGTCCGATCTTGTTGGTTATGCTGATGCTGGGTATTTATCTGACCCACACAAGGCTCGATCTCAAATAGGTTATGTGTTTATCTGTGGAGGCACTGCCATATCTTAACGACCGACTAAGCAATCAATTGTGGCTACTTCATCTAATCATGCTGAGATAATTGCTATTCATGAAGCAAGTCGAGAGTGTGTGTAGTTGAGGTCTATAATACATCTTATTCGAGACAAATGTGGTTTGAAATGTGACAAGTTACCCACGATTTTGTATGAAGACAATGCAGCATGCATAGCTCAATTGAAGGGAGGATACATAAAAGGAGATAGGACAAAACACATTTCACCAAAGTTATTTTTCACACATAATCTTCAAAAGAATGGTGATATCAATGTGCAACAGATTCGTTCAAGTGATAATATGGCTGATTTGTTCACAAAATCTCTACCGACGTCAACTTTCAAGAAACTAGTGCACAAGATTGGGATGCGAAGGCTCAAGGATGTGAATTGATGCTCTCATCAGGGGGAGTTAATGCGCGTTGCACTCTTTTTTCCTTACAAGATTTTGTCCTACTGGGTTTTCCTTGCAAGGTTATTAATGAGGCAATCAAAAGGGGTATTGTTAGATATGTGTACTTTTTTTCCTTTACTAGATTTTTTTCCCATTGGGTTTTATTTTAATTAAGGTTTTAACGAGGCACATTACTTATCGAGTAGACATTCAAGGGGGAGTGTTATGAATAGAATTCTATTTAGAGTGAATATCTATCTTGTAGAGAGTTTTACTTTGTGGCTAAGTCATTTTTCCCTTATAAATAGAGGGGTCTTACCTCATTGTAAATCATCCCAAAATTCAATAAAAATTTCCTCTCTTTCTTTCTCTGCAATATTGTTCTTCTACTTTTATTGTTTTATCACAAAAAGGAATATTTGTTTCGTTTTAATTATTTGCTTGTTTCCATACTCATGTAACACTAGCGAACTTGTGAAAGACCTCATTATATTTAAAGAATAAATTTCTTCTAATATTTAAAAGGTTGATAAAAGAAAAAAATAGGCTGTGAATATCTTACTTCTGACTTTCTAGTTTTTATATGACTAGTCTTAGGGTATGCGCTTTGCGCGTGTACACCGTCTGAATAAGATTATTTTTTAAAAAAAATTACATAAATATTATATTATATTTTTAATTTCTTACTTAGAAATTATGGAGACAAAAAGCTGGCATGTTATGGTTCAAAGATGGCGATAGAAACACTTAGAAATAATTAGGGTTCCATTTTTTCTCTGTTTCTTACTTAGAAATAATTTTTAATTTATTTTATAAGTAAGTCTATAACATAG